ATGCGGCCCTAAAATTATATAATAAATTACCTAACTCGATAAAACATATTACCAGAATTAGTACGTTTAAACAGGATTTGTTCAATTTTCTAATCTATGTAGAACCCTATAATGTTGCTGAATATTTAGATTTTACAATGTGAAATCTTAAAAATGACGTTTGTTGTTGTAATTTTTTGATTTGTCTACAACACAATAAAGATTATTATTATTAAGTAACCAAATTCAATATTGACATTTCTTCAAGCAATATTTGGTGAGTAGATGTTACAAAGGCGAATACATTTTTACTTTTTTATTATACAGAATAATGAAACAACAGACAACGTTACTCAAATTCCATGTAGAAAAATCAGTTTTAACTCGAAATGAAAGAATACGTTTTTTTTTAGATCCACTTTTGTTTGATTTTCTTCTAATTGGGTTTTGGGTAACAATTACGTGTTAAAACAAAAAGTAGCTGATATTTCTAATAGAAAAATTATCTTTTTTACCAAAATCTTTTTCTTGTTTCTATACTAAAAAAAATAATTAAAGTGAATTATTTTTTAACCTCTTAAATCGAAATGACTTTTTAATTTTATCAAACGTTTTTTTTTTCGTTGAGATTACCTGCTTTATTGTTTATTAATTTAATTACTAATTGTCGAATATATCGAAAACAAAAGCTGACCTGAAAAAATGTTTTCTTCTATTTTCGAGTCAAAATTACTACCAAAAACATTAGTTATTTTTTATTACATTTTCGGTTATTACTAGTGCGAAAACTGTTCAGTAATAAAACTTTGAAGTCAGTTTTACAGAAAGCAATTTCTGCAAGCAGTATTGCAATATTATTTATCTTTATAGAGCAATGGAACGTTGATTGATCCGAAATTATAAAAAACGGGGAATCAAGTTGTAAGTGGCTGTACTTATTTAGGTGATACAAGAAGCAATCATGATAACGAGGGCACTGGTGAAAACGTTTCGACTCCTTCGACATTAAAATGTAGTTACAACGAAACTATTTTTTCCGTAATCGAAATTACTCGGCTACTCTTTCTGTCAAGAAGTAGGTCCGTCAATACAGCGCAGAATATTTATCCTTTAATTTTACAGAATTTCTGTCCTCGGAATCTGGCAAAACACGACCAAAGCGTGTTATTTGCAGCCAGGTTCTAGCAACTGATTCTACGAAACCAGCTAAGTTAGACATTATTTTGAAACAAAGCACCCAGAGTTTCAGCAAAAAAACACGGATTTTTTAAAAAGAAAAAACAACAAGTAGAGAACATTCAAAGAAGCGTGTCCCACATTGCCATACCAGCATCAAACAATTCAGCCATAATGGCCTCCTTTAAAGTATGTCAACTCATAGCTCAAAACGGTAAAGCTCATACTATTGCTGAAGATTTCATATTACCAGCAGCAAAAGTTATGGTGTCTACAATAATTGGCGATAAAACTGCCAAAGAAATTACACAAATTTCGTTGTCAAACAATACAGTGCAAAGAAGAATTCAAAATATAGCAGAAAATATAAAAGATCAATTAATACAAAGAGTTTGTGTATCACCTTGGTTTGCTATACAATTGGATGAAACAACGGACGTAGCTACTTAGGCAGTTTTATTCTGCTGTGTGAGACACAAGCATAAAGATGCCGATGCCGTTCTTGAAGACCTGTTCTTTGTAGATTTCTTAATTAACACCACCGCAGAAGAAATTTTTGAAAAATTAAATACGTTTTTCAATAAAAATAAAATCGAATGGGCGAAACGTGTTGGTGTAAGCACAGACGGTGCCAAAGCTATGTCCGGAAGAATAACAAGTCTGAAGACGAGAATAAAGCAAGTATTTTCATCTGTAGAGTGGTACCATTGTGCTATACATAGAGAAGCGTTGGTTACAAAAAGAATTCCTGCAGAATTAAAAGCGGTCTTACATGAGTGTATCAGAATAATAAATTTTATTAAAAGTAGAGCGCTGAATACGCGGTTTTTTTCACAATTATGCAAAGAAATGGGAAGCGATCACTATGCACTGCTAATACATACAAATGTAAGGTGGCTTTCGAAGGGAAAAGTATTGGGTCGACTTTGGGAATTACGTCAAGAAGTCAATGTATTCTTAATGGAAGAACAACGTTTCCAATCCCATCGCTCTGATAAATTTTCCCCAGAAAATTTAAATAATTCTACATTTCTTATCAAACTGGCGTACTTATCCGACATCTTTACACATCTCAATGATTTGAATGTAAGATTACAAGGCCCAAATGTAAATTGTTTCCAGGTAAAAGACAAGATTAAAGCAACTAAGGTTTCAAACAAATCGTCCATGGATTTTTAGGAAACCATAAAGATGAGAATTGTCGCAAAATAATTTCCAACTTATTACACAATTACCATGCCATAAATGCAAACATGTTGTTCAAAATACATTTTCTCCATTCGCACTTAGATTTTTTTCAAGCAATCTTGGAGCAGAAAGTGACGATCAAGGTTCCATCAAGATTTAATGAAGAAGTTATCAAGGTTACTGGGATGCAGGGATGGAGAGAGTATCTCTGAAATGTAATCTGAGAAACCGACCCAAAAACATACAAAAATGGTCCAAAACAAACAAAAATTGTTGTGTAAAAAACTAATCATATCCCACACTATACTAGCAATAAGTAAAATACTATATATTAAACATAAAATGTGATTTCACAAAAGTTCTAGAAAACTCGGTCATATAAACCTGTAATATAATCTATAATATAAACCTAGACGGTATAAACAAGAAGACAAACAAAAGTTTGGTAACGTTTGTAAGATCAGCCAAAAACTTAAGTTCGCATAGTGAAACTCTGCCAAAACCAAATCCTTCTGACCAATTAATACAATCCAGTGAAAGAGTGAAAAAAGTTATGAGTAAAAGTGACAGTGGAGAAATGTCCTCTAGCAGCGATTGCCAATAAGTTTTAATTACTTGATATGCTTGATGCTTGATCAACATTACTTAGAACAGATAAAATAATATTTATTACAGTGAATTTAATGTTTATACGTAGTGCCTGGAAGAACTAAAACACCACTTTATTAAAAAAAAATTGTTCATAATAATGTTTCAACAATACAGTTAAAATGGCAAAAAATGAAATTTTGCACTATTCTCGTAAATTAACGATATCTACAGTAAAATACGTTCTATCACAGTATTCAATGCTTCGATATTTAGAGAATTAAATGTTCTACAGGATAGAATAGCTAACTTATTTTTTCATATATACGGGTGTCTCCGAAATATGTGTACAACGGAAGACCACAGATTCCTTGGCTTAAAATAGCTCGATTTAAGTTAAGTTATCTATATCCAAAGTTACTTCGTTTCGCCATTAGAGGATTTCAAAGTTAGCAAAAAAACTAAACTTTATTTTTTATAAAAATTGTGTTAAGAATTGCAATTCTCAACACAATTTTTAATCCTCTTCAATCGTAATTCAACAAAATACTCTGTGTAGTTCAATAGTACAAATATAAAAAGAAATACCAAATGATTCATTCTATAGAACACTTTGTAACAAAATGACGTAATGTCCTGAAGATGCTGTAAATATATAGCGAAACCGGTTGAGAGAAAAATTTAAATAAAAATCCATTTAAGTGCAAAACCGAATTTTATTTATTAGACATAAAATGGAAAGAAAATCATCAAACAATATTTATTTTTTATAACTCGAAAATGCGTAAATCAATTGAAAACATTTTTCAGAAGGTTCAATTAACGTCTTTTTATGGTTTTTGATACAATTTTGAAACACAGGAATGATGGAAAAGGTATGTGTCCCGGATATTACTCCATTTTTTTTTCTGGCCAGCCGACAATTACATTATTATAATTTCTGAATAACCCATTTAGTTCTGAACCATTTTTATCTCTTATAAGATTTTGATTACAAAAGTGGTTAAGCCAGAAAAAAGGTATTTTTAAATATCTGCAAGTCTTGTTTACGTCATTACAATTACAAAAGTTACTAAAATATTATATTTATCTTCAGTACTTAGATTATATTGTATAATATTCTAAGTACTGAAGATGAAACATTAGTTTCGAAACATGTCTGCTTGAATTGAATTAAACATTTTAGTATTTCTCAAAAAGTTTTTACTTTTACCTACATCATATTTTATTATATTAGAGAAATATGGAGAATTTCATCCCATTTATACAAAACTTACCTCATCGTAGTTGGCATTGATTTGAACTAATTGCAATATTTATGTTTAACGTGAATACAATATCATTAATTGATCAAAAGCGTGGGCATGGCTAATGGCTATTCAGAAATTACAATAATAATGTAATTGTCGCCTGGCCAGAAAAGAAAATATGACTTTTCCATCATTCCTGTGTTTCTAAAATTGTACCAAAAACCATAAAAAGACGTTAATTTAACCTAGGAACTCGGTTCTGAAAAATGGTTTCAATTGATTTACGCGTTTCCGAGTTATAAAAAATAAAAGAATTTTTTTTGCTAATTTTGAAGTCCTCTAGCGGCGAAACGAAGCAATTTTGGATAGAGATAACTTAACTTAAATCGACCTGTTTTGAACCAAGAAATCTGTGGTCTTCCGTTGTACACGCATTTCGGAGACAGCCTGTATATTTTTTTTGTTACTGGTCGATGAAGTGTAAAAAAAATGCCAAAAAATCTGATTTTGTTGAGTTGTTTTAAGCTGTAGCAAAATAACGGGGAGTCCGATTTATGCAATCAATACCTCAAAATGTTCGCCTATCTAGAACATGAACCGTTACTACGTTTTTTAATTTACGGTTTTCCACTTTTTTGGGAATATCTCGAAAACTGGACGTGATGAAGAAAAACTGAAGATAAAGATTCTACACTAAAAAAAATATCACATCTTCGAGATTTTTCTTGTAAACTAGTATTATTGTTACATCTATTTTTTTTAATAAAAAATTAAACATTATTTTGAAATAATTGCATTTAGGCAAAGATAATAACCAAATCTGGTAGAACTTGAAATTCTGGCACAACGAAAAATAATTACTTACGAACTGTGTGATTAAGTTGTTGAGAATCATTACTTTCCAAACCATAGCTAACAGTATTAACTTGAATTGTGTATAATTCTCCTGCAGTCATATCTGTAACTTCAGCTTCCGTATTTTCTACAGCCGGTAATTTAACCCAAGTGCCATCAGAATTTGTTCTATATCTTATTGAAAACTCCGACACCAAACTATGCGAAGGTTTTTGCCACTGAACGATTACCGAGTTTGTCGTTGTTTTTTCAATAACCATACTTTTTGGTGAACGCGGAACTAAAAATGTTTGATTTAGATAAATGGTAAACAAAAAAATGCAAGGTAAATCAAAAAAATTTTGAATAATACTTACAAACTGGTTGAAAATATTCATGTGGTTCACTTTGTAAATTATGTGAGACAGCAAAAACTTTAACAATATACCCAGCCCCCGGATACAGTCCTGTTATAAATAAGTGTGAGTCTACTGTAGTTTTATTATGTTTCTCATTCGTATCATTTCTAATCCAATGTACTTCGTATTTATCCTGTAATGAAACAACATCCGATTTCCAACTTATATTTAAACCATCTCCAACTGGTTTAAGTACTTCGATGACTGGCGCACTTGGTTTTGTTAAAATAAATAAATGACTTTCATTTGATTCAACTTTTTTTGACGCTGCTTGCACAGCAACTGAATAATTTCTTCCAGGTAATAACAAAGTATCCAAACTAATCCTTGTTGAATTTATTCGAACAGTACTACTATCAGCTAAAGAACTTTCAACTTCATGATAAGAAACAATGTATTCTTCTTGAAAACTCTCCGGATTGGGATCCCATCTCATAAATTGACCATAGTCCGTAATTGATGACCGAAGATTCGTAACAGGAAGTGGCTTTAACGTTACATCCGTGTTTAACGGCCACGAAGAAACTTTTCCGGATACAGATTTAACCAAAAAAGTATACGTCATTCCCGGATACAAAACTTCCTTCGTTTTGTAAATTAATGGTTCGTTCTTTTGAATCATAACAGGAACAAATTTTTTTGTAGAATTACTTATTTGAACTTGGTACTTATCAAATTCACATTTTCCTTTTGGAGGATCCCATTTTACGACGAATGAATAAGACGTAATCGAGTTATTTAAAACTGTCATATTTGAGACTCTTAGAGGTACGGTTAAATACTGCGCGGTTGTTGGTAAAGAAACTTCATCTTCAGACATTGTTTGCACGGAAATGTTGTAGGCTCGACCAGGAACTAAACCTATAAAATGAATGATTCATAAAATTAGTTATACTAATATATTACTACTATTAGTTATATTAATTCATAATCATGTATTAAATTATTTTAGCTTTACTTTTCTCACTTTTTTACGTATATAGGGTGGCTAACTGAAGTGGTCTAACTACATAAGAAATTTACTATCACGCACAGAAGCTCGGGGAGTTTGAATAAAAGAAAATAAACTAGTATTGTGAACTATTGGCCAATGGAAAAAATCTAGACAAAGGGGGCGCGGTTGCAGTTATGTAATGCTAGTATACTAGCAAAGGATTTAAAATATACAACCTGTATAAATTTTATAGCCATGTTATACAATAGAGAAATGCGTCAACAAGCTTACATTTCATTATATAGATTATATATCGGGTAGGTGGATCAACCAACCTGGCACCGCGACCCTAAGAATCTATTGTACCTCGATAGATAACTTTACGGAGCAGTTCAATGCTCTTAACGAATATTAATACCTTGCTCGGTGAAAAGTCATTCAGATCCTTTGGGAAGATAAACAGCCACCCAACAATCGAAAATCTTGATACGATTAACAGCAGGGCAGTGGCATAAAACATGCTCAACCGCCTCCTCGTCCTCCGCACATGGTTGGCATTCAACATCGTCGGCTAGACCCAACAAGTTGAGGTGTGCTTTTAATCGGCAGTGCCTATTAAAGACGCCCATTAGAACTTTAATGCTGCTATGAGCAAGTCCTAAAATATTCCCGGGTTGACGGATGCGATGTTAATAAACACCTTAGCATGTCTCATTCCAGGAGAACTGATCCACACTAGGCGAGGTCCCTCTTCAGCCCACAGTCCAATCCTACGTTTGGCTATCACAAATGATACACCAACTGATCGCCCCAAATTTGACGTGATAGCACAGTATCGTAATGTCTTCCGCAGCCCATTGGTAGGACTTGTCGAACAGTTTTGAGCATATTGCTTAAATCTATAAATGGTAGATCTAGCCACTTTCTCTATATGCAAATGCAAAAGAGATAGGCCAAGCAGAACATTCATTGCTAGAGTTGGCGTTGTGCTTATCACACCAGAGATTGCCAACATATTCTTCAATAAGCTTAACATATTGTCCTGTATGACCTTCCCTTGTCGAACATCAAATATGACGTACACTAATATTACCGTCACCATGCATAAAATATAATGACCGACCTGCCTTTTGGCATGCAGCTTTTTTCTCCACCTAACCGCTGAAACCAACCTTAAGGCAACTCACTACCTCCATCTCCCATGAACCAGCGAGTAAGCCTGACTTTATTTCAACACCATTCCATATTAACTCAAATACAACACATAAAACCTACCTAACTACATTATAAAACGAAAAAATAATGTAATGAAATGAAATATAATCCCTACACCTATACTCACAATTTACCCGCTAACTTAAACTAAATCAATACCAGAAAATAAAAATAAGCTAAGAAAAACATAAAGAAAAAATACAATACTGTCTTAAAACCTAGCTAACCAATAAACGTTTCTGATCCAAACTCCATAACTAGCTAACGCGCTAAAAACCACTAACATTAAGACCATAGTCCCACTCCATTATAATGCCTAGACTATTAAGCCCTCATAAAGGGACCCCCTGCATCCACCCACTTGCAGTGTTCCTTCATTGTAATCAAACATAACTCCTGCCGCCCACTAGTTCCAATCATCCAAATCGCTGTCATCAACTCTCCTTTGCATTCTCTCTGTCTTCCTCCTAACCTCCTCTCCAACCTCCCAATAATGCGGACATTCCTGTACAATATGGCACAGGCTGTCCTCATTCACCCCATACATACATACCCCTGTCGTTTCCTTCAGTCGAAACCTTCTCAAATATACATTGAATAGAGCATCTCCCGTCATCAACTGAATCCTTCATAAAGCTATACACCTTTCTACCTTTTATCCGATTTCATCCAGCTACTCTTCCATCCCTCTCTAACATCTTTGACCTCCTCCCTCCCATACACACACTTCTAAACGCACACCCTCTTCACATAACCTTCCACAACCCTCGACCTTAAAACCTCACCCGCTCTTCAATTCCACTCAATTCCACTTTCCTACCCATTTTGTTTGCCTTCATAAACACTTTCACATTTCTTGTCTTACTTATCATCATATTGTCCCCACCGCTGTCATATTGTTGCCTTACAGACAATATGAGACACCTTACATCTGTGCCTATTATCCCCCTTCCTTATTATTCATTCCATCCCCAAGCTTATCGATTGTAGCTGTTCTTTCCTTTTATACAATCCATGTATAATAATAATAATAAATTATTGAGTGTAAAATAAAGTTTACAATACGTCCAAGAAACAAAAAAAAATAAATACTATGTAACAGGTTTTAAAAAAAAATTATTTATGGTATAAAATTTGGACAGTTTCTTTCTGGTGGCTGTTATACAACTGAAGATAAATACAGAGGGTATGGTAAATATCTTATATTTAGTAAAATCTTCTTTGCAACTTTCTATGCTTTTCAGATTGAAAAGTGCACGCACTGCTTGCTTTTGCAGTAGGAAAATTCGTTTTGCAGCCGAAGACATTCCCCAGAAAAGGATGTTCGGCTGTGAAAGTTAGCATAATATGTAAGTTTAGTAGCTTCAAAGGTACTAATAGTTCTGATTCTCCTTATGCAGTAAATTGCCCCGTTTAACATTTTTGCAGTGTTCTCTACGTGAATAGACTAGTTGAGTTCCTCATCTATATATAACCCCAACAATTTTATTGATTTAATAAAATAATTAGTTTAATAATTAGTAAATAATTTAATGCCTTCTCATGTCCTCTATTAAACATGATTTTTTGCGTCTTCTCTTCGTTTAATGTTACGCCATTGTCTTGCAGCCATTGTTTAGCATTGTGCATCGATTCGCAAGTGTTATTTTGAAGATCTTCTGGCGATTCTCCAGTTGAAACGATGGTGGTGTCATCCGCGTAGAGGCAAAGGTTCGCATGATGCAAAGCATACGGCATATCATTTACATAGATGATTGAATTCGATTTCCTACCATTAATCACTACGATTTGTTTCCTAGCTGCCCAGTACGAATTTAAAATATCAAAGGCTACGCCACATATCCCGTAATAAAACAACTTATCCAAGAGCAATGTGTGATTAACGCTGTCAAATGTCTTCGACAGATCGACTCCTACCAATTCTACAAATTTCTTTTCGTCTATCGCAGCTAATATTTTGTTGACAGTCTCGTGTACTGCTGTGTCTACGGATCTTTCCTTACGATATCCGTGTTGATATTCAGTAAAAAAATCTCTTTTCTCAAAAAACATTGATATTCTCTCCGCTATGATACATTCAAAAACATTCGAAATTGCTGGTAAAATACAGATTGGTCTGAAGTTTTCCGCCTTATCTGTATCGCCTTTTTTATAAATTAGGATGATTTTAACCACCTTGAGTTCTTGGAAATACTCCTTGTTTGAGGCACATATTAATCAGGTACACCAACTGAGCGGAAAGGCACTACGGAAAGATCTATGGTTTTCTTAAAAGCCACTGACATTCCATATATGTCCTCCGTGGTTTTCGATTTAAATCCTTTAACTACTTCTTTCACCTCTGTAATGTCTGTCGGTCTTAGGAAACAAGAGTCGTTGTTTCGTATTTGTAAAGCGTTCATATAGTTGTTTCCCTTATTTTATCCCTTATTATTATTTTGCAAATAGTCGCTGTATTTCTCGGGTGTTATGGATGAATTGGTCTCCGTTGTTTTGGTGGAATTTATTTCCCTATTTATTATCTGCCACACTTTTTTCTGTTTGTTTTCTGCTAGCCGCATTGCAAATTCATTGTGTAACTGTTTTTCGTGCTTTATTAGGTCTCTTAATTCATTTTTGTATTTCGTGTAAATTTCATATGCCTCCTTCGTCTTTGTTTGCTGTGCAATAATCCCCAGGATTTCAACTTAGTTCATTTTGTCTTGATACATTTTGTTTTCTTTTAACGACAGATTGTAGGAATTTCTTTTTCAGGACAGTACTTGTTGAAGATGTTTATGAGATGGGTGTAGTAGGCAGAGAACGTTGCAGCTGGTGTGTTTCCCACATTTTCAGAAATGAAATACTGTGACTTATCTGCAGCATTTGAATCACTTACGTCCCGTCTTTTAATTATTTCTTTGTCGTTTCAGCTTTATTGTTCTTGTTACGCAATTTTAATAATTTGGCATAATGATCGGACACGTGAAGATTCAACGTTTCTCTGTCATATTGTTCTTCGTTCCAATTGGTAATGATGTTGTCTATACATGACTTAGTTGTTGCAGTTTCTCTTGATGTCTCATAAAAGACACAATGTAAATTGTGACTTTCTAATAAATCTTGTAATAAAGTCACTTCGTAGTTTTTATACGCCTGTACATTAATATTGAAGTCACCCAGAATGAAAACCTTCTAAATTAGCATTAAGAAGCAGTAAGTTCTGAAATCTTTCGAAGAATACCCTGGAATCGCCGCTTGGAGAGCGCTATATACCAATAATAATGATTTCTATTTGTGATTCAATGGCAGATATCTTAATATGTTTCTCTATTGATAAGACGCTTAGATCCGGCCTCTCAATAAACTTTTCGCCGTCTTTTACGAAAATTAGACATCCTCCCCGGATGACATCTGACCGGCAGAATGCCGACCCAACTCTATAATTGGTGAAATTGACCTGACATAATTCTTCATCGTTTAATCAATGTTCCGTAATAACATATTCTACATCCATACCATTTAGAATGACTTGAAAAAGATCAATTTTACTCCCCAACCCTTGTATGTTAATGTTGAGTAGCTGCACCATAGGCTGATAACACTGTGTGCTGGTGTCAATAAGTTTTCCGTGAATTAAAACTGATTCGCCTTCATCGCAATTCTTTTGGGTTATATTGGATGCGTTTTCCTGTAAATTCGTTCTAAAAAACGATTTATTCGAACTCCCATACCTCTATATTCCTCTCATTCAGCTTTAACCACGTTCTGCGCATATCTCCGGTGACCAAATATTGGGGCGCTACCCCAGCCAAAATTTGTAAAACGTCAGTAGGTGTAGTCCGATAGGCCCCCGTGAACCACAACAGGGTCTCTGCGCCACATTTAACCCTTTAATCATTCTACTGTCAGATGACTTAACATAACACGCTTGCGCTCCATACATTATCGTCGGCATCACCACGGTCTCAACAAGTAATTTCTTCAACCTTCCTCTCGCAGCCCACCTCTTAACTGCAATCACAGCCATCCTTCCCACTATCAATGCTATCTTCCCTCTCACGTACCTCACATGCTCCAACAATAAGGCCGAACCTAACATCAGTCCCAAATATTTCAATGCAATCATCATTTTCACATTGCCGACGCCGGTCGTAAGCGCCGGCTCCTTCACTTTCTTAGCTCGTTCATACATTCTTCAGCCCATTCTTTACATTCCTTCCACGCTTTATTCCACTTTTTTCGATCTTCTCAATTGAAACGTCCAAGATAAGTATGACCTGGTGATGGGCGTAGGTCTGCTCTAGGTCTACCCCGTCGTCCAGTACATCCCACATTCTCGCAAACCACTCATTCATTGCATACAGCCACAAGTACTAGTCCCAAGCTGGAACCCTGTGGCCATTCCCTGTTTGTTGTATACCTTACCTCACATTCCATGCAACTATCCTTCAAATAACTTTACACAACACAAACCATTCAATTTTTTCTCTCGAGCGGTCAAGTATTAAATATGGTTTAACTCGTATTGAAGCGCACAGTCTTTTTCTGAGTCATAAAATCGGAAAAAGCCGCAAAAGCATAAGAATGTCTCGGAGATCTATCAATAATAATTCTCAATATGAGGTTTGGCCTTATAATTTATCCTTAATATAATATCGTTCGTGACATCACTCTACATTGAACTTGACATCGCTCAATATCGTCTATGATCTTTCTCAACATCATTCGTAACCACAATAACAACGCCCCTGATTTCCGTTAAAATCGTCTATATGTAACTACCTTTAATATTGTCCGTAAATATCTCTTAATCTTATCACTCAATCATCTTCAGCTCACCTCTTAAGGTTGTCCCCGATATTCTCTATTAGCGTCCATAACCTCCCTTAAACTTAATTATTATCTTAACCTCGTTCGAAGTCGTTCCTAACTACTTTCGATAACCATCAAAGTTAACTTATTAATCAGTACAGCTTGGCAAATATATCTTGGCCAGTAAAGGTCAAATACATATTTCACGAAATGAAGCTCATGTACAGTACTCATCAAAGATATTAATGCATATATTGCAAAAATTTTTATAGAAAATAAGACAATAAGAAAAAGTAGGAAACCAGACTTTATGCTAAGAAAGTACACTTCTGAACTTGTTGTAAGGGTACCATATTACAAGAGATTAAAATCAGTCAAAGTGCCATAAAAAATTTCTTATCTTCAATAAACGTAGTTGTTATTATTTTTAAAAACCTACTCAACATATTAAGAGAAAGATTGTTAAGTAGATTTTAAGAAGAGAAATTTAAAATATCGTATCTCAAGAACGAATTTAATGAAGAATTAATGTGACATAAAATTTTTTTTAATTCAATAAACATCGTTGTTAAACTTAGTTTTTTCAAATTATAGACATGCATTTTTGAATTCAATCTTGCATAACCATAAACATTTATTAATCCAGATATAGAACTAAATAAATCCAAATAAACATAGCAATTTGCGTTAAAATGTATGCATTGGTTGCATTAATATCGCATTAAAATGTATGGAGACCGATTAAAATTTACCTTTGAAAGCAGCTTGAGCTGGTCCAGGGGGTTCACCCTCTTTTTCAACTAGAATCACATTCTCTAAAGCATCCGGTGGATTAATTGAAGCTCTGTAATGGGTATAAATTGCCGGAGGATATGGTGGTTGCCATAAAACTAATAATGTGGTCTCGTTTCTGAACCAAACAATAAATTTTCCTGGCGTATTTGGTTCTAAAAAAAGATAATTTTAAAAAGTTAAAATGTGAGTTAAATTTTTTTTTATTACTGGTTGTAAAATTTCTAGTTGTATAAGCAGCACTCTCTTTGTTTTCGAAAACCGTAAAGGCATAGATTTGGTATGTGGCCCCCGGAGTGAGATCTTCAACCACATATGGTGACGATTCGATGTCCTTAAATAGCAACGAGGTCTGGTCAGTTTGATGTTCCGTTTTCGAAAGTGCGATCAGTTTCAATTTGAAGTTTGAGTAACTTCCGTAAACGGGTGGATTCCATGATATCGTAGCTGATTTACCGTTTTTTACTAAAACGGAGAGGTTTGATGGTGGATCGGGAACTGAAAATACAAAAAAAATATGTTAAACATTTTTTATTGGTAACGCAAGTTATATTAACCGTGCAAATCGTTTAAAAACTTTAAAGTAAAAACAAGTTTTCCTTGAAATTTAATAACTGCTTAAGTGCTTTGTTGTTCAAACATATTTATAATAATGAAAAGAAATTTTGTTTACGCTTAAAAAAAAAGAAAAAAGGTGTTAGCAACGTTTCGAAATTTTTAAGTAAATAATTTTAGTTTGATATTATCTGTATTAAAAATTAACACAGTTGAGATAGTATTTATTCAAGCATTCAAAAAATTGTAATTTATTTATTATTTGTGCCGAGAAATTTGTTCACTGGTGGTCGATAGATTGCATTTCTGTGAAAAATGATAATCATATTAGCAGTTAAAGGGTTAATACATGATAAAAAAACACGTAGCTACAAATTGCGCAAAATAAAAGTGATTCAATTCGCACATACTAGGCCGGTAATTTTTTTAGCAAATTATAGGGACTGTAACCGAGACCAAAACGAAATAATACGAAATAAAATAGTAGTCAAGCTACCAAAGATGACTAAACAATGCTTTTCCCAATCCTCTCATCAAAAATGACGAACATCACAACCAAATTCCTGCAAGACCTTGTTTTACTTATTATATTAATTATTAATTAATTATTTGATTGTAACTTGTAAGGTGAAAATATTGGAAAACTAACGAAGTGAAACGATTACATTTTTTTATTACTGAATCCAATTTAATATAAAGAGCAAGCTAGAGTAGTATACCAGGATAGTAGTCATCCTAGTGAAACAAGAAATTTAATAGGAAAGTCTACGAATGGGATGCAAAACCTTGGAAGTTATTCAAACAAACATGAAAAATTTAGGTTGACCTAATGTAAAAATTTACGCATATCAACAAGAATGTCTACTGGACATATTTAAAAATATTAAATAGGAGAGCTAGAATCAAATTCAACATTGTTTAAATCAATTACTTTTTAATCACGTATCGGTTTAATAGTTCTCCACAGCTAATAAATCGTCAGTTGGAAAATTAAAGGGTTTACGACAAAATCAAAAAGTTTTAATAACCTTTATGAATAACCTGTATAGCAGTGGTGTCCACTAATTTTTGATCAAGATCGACTTTTTATATAAATGTCTTGCCAAGATCGACCGAAGAGTTTAAATTTTTTTTTTACATTTTAAAAGTATCCTTTTTTTGCTCTCAGATAGGCCCAGATATAGATATTTCAGATTCATGATTTTGTTGGCGATCGACGTTATGGACACCACTGCTGTATAGCATTGCATATTTTCAAATGCGATCTTAAACGATTTCTCATGATAACATTGCACAGTTTGCCAAATTTTATCTTTCTAAGACAAACCATATTGAAAATATTATTTGTAGTGTCATCCATATCACCAACATAGGATAAAGTATTAAGAAGTAAAGTACATATACTGTGGTGATTATTTATTTTTATTTTCTTTACCGGTTTCGGCACAAAGAAAATAAAAATAAATAATCACCACAGTATGTATATGTACTTTACTTCTAAATACTTTTTTCATATTGAAAATACTTAAGAAAATGCTGAAAAATTTCTTAACTTTGAAGGCCCATATCTTAGCCATTTATGGGTTTAGAAAAATATTTTTACACGAATCGTCATTTTGACACTAGTATTTGTGATTAAAATTATGCCACGACTTACAGAAAGACCCTGTATAACAAATAAATTGAAGCACTTAAAACATAGAAATAACAAATACAAACACTGCATTGGATGACATTCCAATTGTTGAGTTATTAGAACCAACATCGCCAATCAAAACACAAAATAGATGATTTAAATGTAGCACACGAAGCACATCGTGTTTGTGCTCTATCAAGTTCATAGTAACTCCGCCTATCCATGAAACAGGATTGCCGGTTCCAAGAAGTAGGACGACAATAACATCTAGTCTTCTGAAGTGGGGAAAAGGCATACTCCGCCTGGACGCTTTAAGATGGCAAACCCATCACCAAGCTAGGGAGTTATGAGCCAATCACTGCCGCTGTTGAAATCAAATGATTAAAAGGTGCTGTTCTTTTAATTTATTTAAATGAATTTAAATGAAAACCGGACGAATTCTTTATTGACGACTTTTAACGCCAAGAGGTCTAAGAAATATAAAAATAGGGTTTTGAAATGTTAGAACTGTCATGCATACCAGTCGATTGAAACAGGTGTGAAAGAGATGATTAGTTATAAACATTCTTGATCCTAGCGAGCTAAGATGCCCGGAGTTTGGAGAAATTCAAACGCAAGTTCATTGCAGATGGCCAGAACACAGAAATGGAGTTGGTCTCTTGTAGACCAACGTTTCCAAAATAAGTCCCTTGGAGTAGCGACCTATTTCGAAGAGAATAATAATAACTCGTTTTATGACGAAGATACGAAATGTCATGTGCAATGCCCACAGTCCCACATAAACTTCCGATATTGAGCAGCAAGAAGGTTTTTCATGGGCGGTAAACGAAACGATAGAAAAGGTCAGCAAAAAGAATATCTTGATTGTTATAGAAGAGATGAATGCAAAATCCGAGGAAACGAAGCAGTCAGTGTTGGCGGCATTAACACAAAGGCAGCAACTCGTAATGAAATTGAAATAGCCCTCAAGAAGATCAGTAATGGAAAGACACCAGGTACTTTCTTTGACTCATTAAACAGGAGAATCATGTGGTATACTCTGCTGAAGAATATGCGGTCTCTCTGAAGATCATCAGTGTTATCAGGGAGATGTATGAGGGGTATGTACATAATGGAAAACTTACCGATCCTATGCAGGCAAATTCTGGGGTGAGTCAAGGGTGTATTCTGTCACCCATACTAATATTGTGAATGGAGTGATGAGAAATAAAGCTTGAATTTACAGACGACATTTGCTTACTTTCACAGAGATTTTATGAGATGCAGGTAAAGCTGAAAAAACTGCAAGATGAAGCAAAAGTACTGAAAGTCAATGTTCAAAAAACAAAGGAGATGAATGGAAGAGACTGAGAATGAGTTGAAACATTATTATTTGTTATGGTATGAGGCATTATTTATTACTAACATGCTATTGTCTAGAAAATTAGGCAGTATTCGTAAATCCATTTCTTATAATTGTCGAAATTCATTGCGTGATAATAATATTGGTAGCGCTTGTACTCCGCCTGCATGCATTCCAGGAACGAGCCCATTTTCATTCAGAAATAAGTTTCTAAAGAGCTGTGTTGGAATTATCATCCCAGTTCTTTTCATTGGCATGTAAATATATTTCATCTATATAAATAAAAGACCATATCGCATCTCTATTGTTGAAAATACAACGCAGATTTGCAATGTCAATCCCTTTCATCAATACCTTCGTATTTAGTTTCGTTTTCTGCTGCAATATGAAATACACGAATACTTTTGTTGGGAACCGTATACGATATGCACTCCGTCAAATATAGCGGAGAAATGACCTCCCCAGGTAACGCCCAACGTTTGCTACAGCGCATCTGACCTTCACCGGCCAAGACTTGCCAAGGTGTAGATATAATGAAGATTCCAGTTCATGAATCGTAATAAATCGACGAAAAAAAGCGGAAAAAGTGTGGTTACTATTGCAAGGTAAACGTATTTTGTGTATTAGAACTAGATAAGGATGAAAATAAAAGCAATATTTCCCACGGAAAGAGGATACCGGATCCTAACAGCTAGCAACGAAATATTATCAAAAAGTAACATGTATTGGCGAACGTTACAACAAACGTCCCAGCATGGTATTGGCCCTTTTTATGTATTTTGTGTATTCAATAAGATTTTTGTTCTAATTATAGGAAAAAGTGCTTTGATAAATTCATCAACGAGGAGTCGTAAGAATATTTAAAGCGCTTTTATTTTGTGGATACTAAAGAGCATCATACTTGTACAAGGGCTAATACAGATTTTTAATATGGAAAAGCAATAGTTTCAGTTCGAAACAAGCCAAAATACAGTACCTTTAAATACTTTGCCTTAAAAGGCTTCGATAAAATCGAAGTACGTTTTCCAGAACTTACAATGTAACTTTAAGTCAAATTAGACTGAAAGATCTTGCTATCCTGGAAAAATAACAAGAATTTATACGCATAAATAATAGGACTCAAAAACGAATTAGTTAACTTCTTTAGTACAACGTACCCTAATCGACAACCCATTAGCCAATGTATGCAATGTGAAGTTGTGACTAAATTTAAGAACCATGAGTATATAATAAAGTATTGCGTTTGATCCTTTTCCAAACCCTCATCTCGTATCGCAGTTACACGCAGAATATTACATAATAAAATTAGTGGTTCAAGCGGTTATAAATCAATATAAAACGATACGTCAATCCCGCTACAATCAATCAAGCCGAATAATACGTAAACAGAGAGCGGATGCATATACTTTTAATAGTTCGTCAAATGTAACTCTCCATGTAACTTTTAAACGAAGTGAACTATCGTCATGAGTAAAAGCACGATTATTTCTATTTTTGTTAAGGCAAATATTTTGTAATCAAAATTTCCTTATCACTTCTAGTTTTTCGTAAAATGATTCACTCACTTTTTTTTTAATATTCAGTCTATTAATGCATTTTTAGAAAGAATAAGAATTAAAAACTGCCAATTAGGTTTTCTTATAAGAAATAACTAAAATTTTTATAGATACAAGCAACCAGGTAAAAAAGGAGTAATTGACATAGGATAACATAAGTTAGAAAATGTTTAAAATTCCTAACTTTTTTTTCACAATATGAAAGTTATGCTGTATGTTTTGATGTATGTTACCATAGTAGATCTGTACTTTTGTTTAAGCATAGCATCGAAACTATTCACACAGAAAATTTTTGATTCTTTGCTCTCTATTGGAGTTTACAGTTTTTGGCTCATCTCAAACATGTTCTGATTGAGTGCTGGCCAATCAAACCAAAAGCGAACATGCTATTTTCGCTTTTCGCGCAAAA